TTGATAGTTTTGATAATATTTTCAGTTCATACTAGAAAAAAAATTGAGAAATTTCCTACTTTTGATAATTATAAATTGAGAACATTCTCAATTTTGAAATTGTGAACATTCTCAGTTTTTGGGTGATGGGATTTGGGATAGTAATTGTGATGTCAAATTGAGAACCTTCTCAATTTATAATATTCTCAATTTTAATCATGAAAAAAATGAGAAAATTTTCAAAATTGATAATTATAAATTTTTTAGTTTTGATAATATTTTCAGTTCATACTAGAAAAAAAAATTGAGAAATTTCCTAGTTTTGATAATTATAAATTGAGAAAATTCTCAGTTTTGAAATTGTGAACATTCTCAGTTTTGGGATTAAAGAGTAAAACGTCTTTTTACCTGTACATGGGACTTATTGGTTCAAAAATTGTTTGATAGGACCTACGCTATCACCAAATGTATAGATAAGACTTTTAGGTAATTAACTCTATAATTTATTTTGAATTTTATATTCTTCCCTCTAATTCTACTCATAATCTTTTTTTTGTTCTAAATTCAAACGGTAAGTGACGAAAGTATAACATTATAATAAAATTACACTTTTAAAAGTATAAGGATTAAATTGTTCAAATCAAAACTACCAGAACTTTGTAGTTTATTTAAAGTATAGGAATAAATGATATAATTTACTCAAATTTTAATTTAATGAAAAAACAATGTTTGTTTCGTAATTTGATGAACATTTTAGGAATAGATTGAAGATAATTTTTTAAGTTTTTTTTTTTTAGCAACGTCAAATTTCATGGAAAAGAAAACACATTGTTTGTTTTGATTAAATTGAGTTATTTTATTTTATTTTTTTTAGTGATTTTCTTGCAAATATTTTAAGTAAATTTTTTTACTTTCTATATGCACATAATTTAGAGGCACTTAAACAATATCATATTGGTGAAAAATATTTTAAAATTTTAATAAATATGTAAGAATATGAAAATTTATTGAATTTTTATATTTTTTGTATTTGATGAATTTTTTTAAGAAAATTCTATAAATGTTATATTTTTTTAAGTGTATTTTACGTTAGGTGCATCTAAAAAATATATATTTTAAAATATTAAAATTTTTAACTAAAAACAAAAATATATAAAAAAAAATTAAAAAAAAAACTCAATTTTTTTTTTTATAAAAAACTTAGACTCACTTTTCTGAAACCAAACTGAAATTTACATTATGTTTGGATGGAGGGGTTTGGTGAAAAAAGAAAAGAAACAGTGAAAATATGAAACCACTTCACTTATTTGGATGGTTAAATATGTGAGAAATGATGTGCGATGGTAAGAAAATTATCCTCATCAAATCTGTGTTTTGTTTCTCATCAAAAATAGTGAGATTTGGTGAGAAAATAATTAGGTTTAATAAAAGTTTTCTAAAATATCAAAACTAACCTTATGAAAAAACATAATTTATTAATATGGAAGGTTATTTGGGCAAAATGAAATACAACACTTTCATTTATTTTTTCTTATCTACTATATTCAAATAAGATACGTAAGAAATCACATTATCTTCTCTTTTTATTCATCCAAACATAATAGTGAAAAATCATAATCATTTCTTTTCTCCCTAATGAGGATCCATTTGAGGGTAAGTTTGCTACTAGCAGCTCAGCTAATTTCAGCTACAATAGTATATATTTAGGTTGTTGTAATTAAAAAGTTCATAATTGGATTTTGAGTTGGGTCAACCGGTCGTCTCAAGTATGCACCAATCGTGTTGTCCCTTGTACTGGCGATGCGTCCCGTTTGTTTGAGGTTATAGGGAGGGGATTGGGATTACTAATCCCTTAGTATTACTAATGGGGTGTTTGTTTGAGAGATGGAGAGGAGACTATTAATCTCTTGGTATTAGTAGTCCTCTTAGAAGGGGGATTGGTAAGGAGGAGATAAAGATAGTATTAGAAAAATAGTGAGGAGATTATAAATTTTTATTTATTTTTTATTTTTTATATGAATAATGCTTGAGACCCCCTTTTGGGGGTCACCCCCTCATCCCCTTTGCCATGTGGCGGGTGGTGATTGGAGGAGCAGGAAAAAAAAGAAAAAGAAAAAAAAAATGTAACCAATGAGAGAAAGAGGGGGTCAAAGGGGGTGGGGGGAAAAGGGGGGATGAATCATTGTTGTTTTTATATATTGGGAATTTTTTTTAAATATTAATGTTTAATTTTTTATATTTTTTTATTTGTTTTATTATTTTATATAAAAATAATTTAACAATTCCTCACTATCAATCCCCTCACTATTAATCCCCTCACTATAAATTCCCTCCATTCTATCTCTGAAAACAAACGTGCCTTAGTCTTAATTGATCGAGTCGGGCCTCCAACACTAGATAAGAAATCACAATCATTTTCTTTTCCCACTTCACATTTCGATTTAAATGGAGTGTTAAGTGTTTGAAATACTCTAAATCACCTTTATACCATATGCATCATTTTATTTTTTAATTATAACTATTTTTTTTTTTCAATTATGATATTAATTTGATATTTTAGTTATGATTTTTTATATTTGGTGATAATTAATTAATTTATTTTTTTAAGGATACTCAGGCCAAAAATCCATATTTGAATTTGGGTAATGATACATTCCACTAAAAATGATGCTCTAAAGCACCACTAATGAGTTGGCAAGCACTTTAAATAAATAAAAAAAAACAAGACACAAACAGTAGATCCCGTCTACTGCCACATCACTAATGGTATTTTTAAAGCAACACTTTTAGTGGTCTCCAACATTATTGTTTGAATTTTCTTTGTCAGTAAGTATAGGCACTAAAAACAGTTTGTCCATGAAGACAAGCTAGTGTAAAAAGACCAAACTATCCATGTATATCCATGTCATACAGTATTCATATACCATATTTTTCAGCCCTCTCTCTTTACTCTGCTCCCTTTCTCTCTCTCTTTGCCTCACTGTTGTAGCTCTGTTGTTGCCTCCACCACCCGCTTCACTGCAGCTCGTCTCTGCCACTCCCTTCGCCCGCCCTCTCTTGCGGCAGTTCCACCATTGCCTCCGCTGCTTGCCTCCTCTCTCCTCCTTTCCCTTTCTCGCCACTGCTTCCTCTCTCACCGCCACCAAAACTAGTCCATCTCCTTTCTCTCTTACAGTAGGGGAACGTAGATCCAGATCTACATTCTGTATATATGTATATATAGACATAGGCATAGATATAAATAGACATAGACATATATATATATATGTATCTATATGTATGTAGGGCACATAGATCTATATATATGTATGTATCTATGTGTATGTATATGTATATATGTATGTATGTATGTTAGTATTTGTTGTCCAATTGTATTTATACTTATATAACTGATACATACATATATATGTATGTATATCTGTGAGTGTGCGTATCTATGAGATAGATCTAGAATAATGATGATTGCAACAGATAAATAAAAAGAATAATGTTTGAGAGTCACAATTTGTGTGGTTCAAATGGCTCAAAACTGTCAAAACGACGTCGTTTTGACATGTTTTGTGCTCAAAACGACGTCGTTTTAGCAGTTTTAAGCCATTTGAGCCACAAAATTTGTGGCCCTCTACCATTGCCCAAATAAAAAAGTTGGCATAGATTTTCAATTGATGGGAAAAAAAAAAAAATTTTTGAACAACCAGATAGAATTTAGGAGAAAGAATTGAATAGATGGTCAAAAATTAGAATTTAGGGGAAAAAATTGACTAGCTAGATATAAAACTGAACATATAAATAGAATTTAGGAAAAAATTGAATAGATAGATAGAATTGAGAAGAAAAATTAAACATATAGGGGAAAAAATTGAACATATAGTTAAAAATTTGAATAGATAGATATAAATTTGAACATCTGGACAAAAAATTTGAACAAATAAATATAAATTTAAACAGATCGCTAATAAAAAGTCAAATAGATAAAAAAAAATCAAGGGGTAAAATTAGAAACAAAATGTCAAGGTGTGAACTTTTTATCAACAAAAAATATTCACCTGATCTACTACCTTACACATTCCTTATATTGAATTTATCTCAAAATTTTATTTTTTATTTTTTATTTTAATTATGACTGAAAAAATATAAAATTATGCCCATATGTAGGGGTGCAATTCGGGCAGGTTCTCTCGAGTTGGAGGGTTGTCCAGGTGCAGTCCGAATTGTATTTGGCAATACCCAAGCACGTCTAAGCCAAACCATCAACCCGAGCTTGGCTATCCAAGCTTGGACTGAGCTGCATAATATGAACTCAGATTAGCCCGAATTGCTCAAATTTCACAAGAAATATGATGACATTACAACAAGAAGCCCTTCTTTATCCTTTCATATTGACAGGAGAAACTAAGAAAAAACTTAAGTTAAATATGATATGTATAGATGCATACCCTGAGTAAGCATTGACTACCACAATTCAATAAGTAGTTAATTTCATCATTATTTGAATTTCCGCAAATGTAGCAGCAAAATGCATCCAAACTTGAAATACAAGATTGACAATGGTACATTTCAGTGGATTTGATCCACAGTCCAAAATGATCAGCATCATCATGATTAAACTATTGCAATTAATAGATGAAGGCTAGGATAAACATTATGTTATCAGTATACAAGTTAGACTAGTAAAATATTAATCAAGATATAAGAGTATAACTGGATTGCTTACTTAGAATCCTTAATAGCAGGAACATCTACACAGATAGAATCCTTCTCTCTCTCCGCCATTCTTCAACTCTTTGAGGAAGAAATGAGAGTATGAGGCACAAAAAGGAAAGAAAAGAGTAGGTAAAGTTTAATCTTTACTTTTAATCTAATGGTCCAAATATAAGATTTTAATCTAAGGGTCAAATTTCAGGAAAAAAATAAAATATAAGTGCCACCTATATATGTGTATTATAATTTTTGTAAAAGTATATAAAATGCAACTGGGTTTGAATTGCTCGGTTGCATACAATCTCTGCCCAGGGCTAACTTAAATTGCAATTCGTCAAAAATTTGCTCAAACCTGCCCAAATTACAATATATTATTACCCAAACCCTAAAAAAAACTGATTCGAGTTGCACCCCTCCGCCATATGAGAGACATCCCATGCTCTAAATATAAAACGAAAGGCAGTGTGAGGGGAAAGTCTTCACTAGAACTGCTCAACTATCTTTATACTAGCATCTCTGCATCACAACAACAAACTGAAACTTGAATCTAAAGCTTTCATTCGAAATGAGGAGGTACAAACAACACCAATCAATCTCTCTCTCTCTCTCTCTCTCTGTGTCTCTCTCTCGCTATATATATATATAAATTATGTGGGATTGCTTTGAATCTACTGTTGAATTGCAGGCCTGGGCCTGGGGATGGATCAACGACGTTGAAGAGAGGAGGAGGTGGAGTGGGAGGGCACCATCGCCACCAGCTGAAGCAGCAACTCACCGGAGGAGTCAAGGGACTGTTTGGGAAGTTGTCTATTGCACTGATTGTTCTATTGATCTGCACCCTCTATTTCCTGTTCTCCATCAAGACTAACAACCAGCCCCTTTCTCCATCTCAGGTCTGTTTTTTAAGCTCCTTCACCAATTCAATTGTGCTTTTGACCTTGAATTTTTGTGGGCTTTGCCTTAATTTTGAAAATCTACAAGGGTTTGCCTCTGTATATGTATTTGTGTTTTGATGGAAAATTCATGAATATGTAAAAGTAAACGGTCGAAATGGCAAAATCATTACAAAACAAAAAATTGATTATAAACTAGTTTTCAAAGAGAAGTGACTTCCACTTGCCGTTGGGATGATTTCTGATGGTGTAGCTAGAAAAGAAAAAAAGAGGGGAAAAAAGTTGACCTTCGTAGCTTTAAAGAGAATACTAATTTGTTGTATTCAAATGAACTCAAATAGTTAAGATAGTTTTTGTTTTTGTTTTTTTGTTTTTCCAAAAAAAGAAAAAAAAGAATCCTATGAACATCAACTGTGTTGCCATATTTTTTCTAAAAGGAATCCATGACTAAGTATGCTCGCAATAGATTTAGCTATATAGGATGGTCCTAGGGTTTTGATGTATGGTTGTCGTGGGGCTCTTCTTATCTGAACTGAATTATAACAAAAAAAGGTAGGGCAAAGACTTAAATTTTGGCACCGAAATCTAGCTATCTTATTGAATCTTGATGGAGCAAGATAGAATTTGGTCCAAAGCGGGTTTGGAAACTGAGATGGAAAATTGGAATAGTGGAGTTCTATGAGTTGAATTGATTTTTCAATAATTGTGGTTCTTACTTGAAGTTAATTTTGAACTCTATGCAAGAAGTGGAGAATGACTAGGTTAAGGTTATCAGAATTTATTTATTTGATCAACAATAAGAGGAAATTTATTAATCAAGTAAAAGGAGATAACAAAAGGAGGACAAGTTGTTCTCATACAATAAGGAGAGAACAACAAAGACCAAAGAAGACGACCAGTATTCCAAAAAACTAAGATTGACAAATAGCTCCCCAATCCTTTGAAATCAGAAAAAGTGAAACTTCTTTAAATGAGGGAGACACATAAGTCCAAAACGAAGCCAATTCTCCCATAATGAATTTGAATCGCCTCCTCGCCTTTGAAAATCCGTTCAATTCTCTCCAACCAAATAGTCCAAAAGATAGCAAAGACAATGCAGAACCACAATGATTTGGCTTTCCTATTTCCACCAAAGCTGCAAAAATCAATTAAAAGCATATGTGTATAAACACTTGGAGCCACCCATTGTAAATAACAAAGGCCAAAAAAGCGCTGCCATAAATTGAGAGCCACTGAACAATGAAGAAATAAATGATTCACCGATTTTGCATTCCTCCTATACATTATGCACCATTGAGGACAAAGGAAATGATTAGGTCTCCTCTTTCGGAAAATGTCATTGGTCATAATGCATGAGCCAAGGACCACATGAAAGGCTTCACTTTAAGAGGTACAATTGCTTTCCAAATTCTCTTGTGAAATGGAAACAAAGGAACGGAGAGCACATCAATGATTTTATCAAAAAAAGTTTTACGTGAGAAAACACTAGAAGAATTGATGTTCCATATCCTCTATGAGCACAAGTGAAAGGAGACAAAGAAATCCCATCAAGCAGAGAGAACAAAGATGCCAATTCAAGAGACTCCCTCCCTATCACTAAGAATCCAGATAAAAATAAAATTCTATGAGATTGGTGCCAAATTAGAGCATGCCCAAGACTCAATAGTAACATACTGAGAGCAGACCAGAATTTCTTTTTTACAGTGTGATAACAGGTAACGTCAGGTAATACATGTAAGTGGATGCTATTTCTAGCCTCAGTAATGTCTAGGCGATTGAGCTTTCAATTTAGGTCACTTAGGTTAGGATGATCTGTCTAGTCACTTTGTGCTAACTATAATTTCCACATGTTAACGCGTGCTTATTTACTTATCCACTGCATATAACCTTTTCCCCCTAGAAATGAAATTTTTTTTTTTTGGTCAACCTGGCCTGCTATTGCTCAGCTCTGGAATGTTGATGACAAGCTTTTCCTGTTAGATAATGCCAGTTGGATGTAAATGCTCTAATACCATTTAAGTCTCATGCTCAGGTTGTATTCATAGATAGTGCAGCTGGATTAGTGAACGAGCTTTATGCATAGAACATTAAATCACGAGGCTATGGTCATTGTAAATGCAAATTACCTGTGCATTGTCTCTCTGAATTCTTATTATTTGATTGTGGTGCTTCACTAAATATGCCAAGCATGTTTTCAAAAATTGATTTATTACGTTTTTCTTTATTAAGCAAATCAACTTAGAGACTTTATGGGGAACTGCTGCTTCTGGTGGTTGGAGACCATCATCTGCTCCACGATCTGATTGGCCCCGTAAGTACTTTAATTTTCCCATTCAATATGCTTACAAGGAATGATTCTTTCGTTAGGTGTTTTTGCAGTTTGGATCTTGATGTCTATTTTTGCCTTTCACATTGTGGCAGCTCCTCTAAAAGAGAGCAATGGCTATCTGCGTGTTCGTTGTAATGGTGGTCTGAATCAACAACGCAGTGCGGTCTGTATCTTATGCTTGCTGTGATCTATAAGGCAGTCCTTACACATGCTCTAACTTCTTACCATGCAACATTTGTGGGGTTGTGCAACTCACGTTATGCTGCAATATATATATTTTCTTTCTTTCTTTGGCTTATCTTTTGCTGAAGTTTAAATATGTAGTGGTTTCTTTATTTAATCTGGATTTTGTCTCAACATGTTGATGACCTTACCTATTTGGATTTCATATTATCATTTAACATTTCCTCTAGTTGTTCTCCTTTGTATTTACTTTTACACCATATCTTAGTTCATATGCGAAAGGATTACTAGTTAATTCCAATTTAGGTAAGTTGCTCACAAGAGAGGTCAAAGTTCTCTGCTGATAGGGAATAATTTCTTGTTGTAGCAGGATTCAAGCATGATGTGTAGTAAAACTGTAAAACTTTAAGCTTATCTCTGAAATTCATCCAATTCGTCTCATTTACAGTGTCAATGTTACCCTTACTACCTTTTTGTATTTTTACCATATCCCCATGATACTGAAGATATTTCCATAATGAATTAGATCTCTTTTAGGGGGCCATTGCATGCTGTGATTGGTTAAAGGTTAGGTTGCCAAGTCAGAATGTGAGTCAGAATGCGTGGGCAACCACTTTGTACAAGTGCAACTAATGCCAAAGGTTTGGCTACGTCCATCTGTTCCAACACCCTGCATCATTGAGCCAACATTGGATCATGGCCCTTTTGTGGTTTTGCTTTGTTGTTTTTTGGGTTATGGAGTAAATTTCTGCTGTTATATATGTTTGTGTTTCTGGAGATCACTTTGTTGGGAATATGAAGTATCTAAGTTCTACAAAGTAGAGAGATTTATTGATTGATTTAAAAAAGAAAGGATCTGAACCCTTATCAAATCCTTATTGCCTTGAATCATTTACTACATACCATGGTCACTTGGAATGGACAATTGTTCACACCATAGTCGAAGACTCAAATACCAAGCTTTTCTTCTCTTAGCTGATCTCTTATATCAGATCTTTAAAGATGACATTTGGACAATTTCCATTGTTCTAGATTCAATATGTATCACTGATTGCTTATATTCTTCTAGCAAACAATTTGATTGATTTCAGTAACTGCGTGTTTTATAGGGTTATCCAATATGTGCTAATAAATACAACTTGTGATGTTCTAGATTTGTAATGCTGTTCTTGCTGCACGGATTATGAATGCTACGCTTGTGCTGCCTGAGTTGGACGCAAACTCCTTTTGGCATGATGACAGGTATCTATTCAGCAGTCTTGTAACTTATGCTTTACATAATCACTTTGATCGAGTGCTTCATTCTTACAAAGACTATGTATGTTGTGCATTACATTTGATTTGCTAATGAGATTTTTTGAATGAAATTCTGTGTATCCTGAACCTCAAGGAGTCAGGAAACCTGAGAACATAAAATAAAAATCTGCAAAAAAGTTGCATTGTAATATGTCCAACAAGCAACTGATGTTCATGAGGTGCTGTGATATATCCGTGTTCTTGAACAAAAAACGCAGATATATTGTAAAATATGGCCATATGTTGATGGATGTAACACACAGGGACGGAACTAAACTATGGCCAAAGGTGGCCATGGCTCCCCCTCTGTTTTCTAGAGCCTTTATATATATATATATTATATATGTTTGAGGGATAGGCATTCTATTGGCCCCCCCTATTCAATTTTCAACAAACCAGGCATTCTATTGGCCCCTATTCAATTTTCAACGAACCTTTTTCAATACCCAATGTAATTATCTGTATAGCTATTCCACCTACTCAAACATTACTTTTCATACTAAATGCTAAAACACTTAGGCCTCGTTTGGGAACCCTCATTTTTAGCCAAAAAGTCAAAAAGTTACTAAATTAGCCAAAAAGCCAACAACCCATACCAAAAAGTCAAATATTCTCTTTTCTCTCTACTTTTTGCACATCTTTTCGTAAAAAGTCAAAAAGTCATCCCAAACATACTAGTTTTTTTTAGCTCATATTTTAGCCAAATAGTCAAAAAGTTACTAAATTAGCCTGTTCCCAAACGAGGCCTTAGTAAGGATTCAATCATAGATGAATTCCGTGATAAAAAAGAACCTTGAGTTCCATTTTGATAGATGATGGGTTTTGTCAATTTTTGCCTTTTTTTTTTTTTTTTCAAAGTATATTTATTTTTATTGACTATTGATATATTTTGATGCATTGCAACTTGCAAATTAGAATCTAAAAAAAATGTAAATGTAGTTGGAGTTGGACATACATAATGTTTGGCCCCCCCTATCTTCAAACCCTGGCTTCGTCCTTGATACCACAATAGATACATGTAGGTACACGAGACCAGGCAAGATAAGGCCATAAGGCACCAATATGATAACATCTCCCTTGTACATGGTGCTATATTCCAGCCTTGTGAGGTGACACGTGGACCAACGAGGTGACTCCATATGCTCCCTCTTTGGGGTTGAATCACCAATCTCTATTGGCACACGTGGTGGCCAACCTCAGGCTATTTATCGTCTCGAACTGCTCATAGCGCCCCTCACTCGAGCATCCCTGAGGTCAACATGTTCACAATCCCCTCAACATAATCAAGTAGCTGAGCAAGCACACCACACCTCTAGAACAATGGACCCTGCTCAAATTGAACACCATATCTCCCATAATTGCCTGGTTAGCATGGAATGTCTAAACTGTACCTTAATTACTACTAAGAAGGCTTTGACAATTGCCTAGACCAGGAGCGGGGTGTAGGCATCCTAGCTTAAGATCTTTGGAGGGCTTGTGCTATGAAGGCTAGATTCAAGGGACTGTTGAGATGCCTCACTCTCCCCTTGAGGGAACCTGTGCCTCAAATAGTCTCAAAGAGAGGGACAATACCAAGAAGACAAAAACCTTTAATCCTGGCACCATGTCTCGAAAGGTGCATTATACTTATCCACTGTAGCTCTCCTGATACACCCCTCAAGGCTTAATTTCACACCCTAGATTCCGTAACTTGAGTTCGTGATAAAGGTTAAAGGGATAGGGATGGATCAAGGACCAATGAGTCAAAGAAATGAAGAAAAGTCCCTTAAGCTGGTCAAAGTGGGTTGACCAACTTGTAACCATCCAACAAGATGCACTTCTTGAAGGTAATCAAATGATTCAGGCTATCAATCTCCCATTGAAATCTAATATACAACCTTATATCCAATTCCTTTTATTTTCATGCAATCTTGTAACATAATTAGATTTCTCATTGTAAGAGGAGCTAATTTGAGCCCATTAAATTAATTAGGCTCAATAGTCCAAGGTCGGTGGGTCCGAATTTATCGTAAGTCCAAAATTAGTGGGCCCGGATTTATTGCCATCAAATGGGCCTAATCGCCCTAAGTCTCAGAACACTTGTGGGCTCGGAGCTTTCCGGGATCTACGCACCAGAACCATAGGCGTAATGGAGTTCGAACAAAGGACCCAGTCTCGAGGACGGTGTGTGGAGATAAATTCACTCTTCGGTTAAATTAACCTATACCCGGGTCGAGGTGGCATGATCTAGGGGGTCCCTGAGACTCGGCAATATTTGCGGCTGGCCCCCTGACCCTTATGCGGCAGGACGTCCTCTGGGACTACTCTTGACCCTTTGGGATGATTGGGGATCATTGGTTCAGTGTGGCTAAGAAGAAGGGTTCGCCGAGAGGTTGATCTCCTCTTCGGGGTTTTCCTCATCCTCAGAGAGGTCACCTCCTTGGACAAGATGGTTAGAGAGAATATTCCCCATGTGCCTTGCACATGGGCTCCATCCTACATCATGAGGTGCCTATAAATAGCACCCACCCATAGCTTTACAAGGGATGGATTTTGAAGAATTAACTCTTGGGAAAGAACTAATTTCCCTTCTTCATTATCAACCTTGAGAGTGAAAGTGGAAGATCCATGGGAGAGCCTTGCCATTATTCTCTCTCTAGCTACTTTGCCTTCTTCTTCACCCAATCTCTTATCTCCATCATCTCCTTTACTCTTGTGTTCTTCAGTTGAGACTATTGAAGAATCTAAGCCTCTCATCATCTTCTAGAGAATTCGAAGTTATTCTTCAAGGATCTTCGAGGATCATCGAAGATCTTCGAATTTTTCAACGACGTTCTTGAACCCTCTCATACACTCATTCTTATGTTAAATGAATTACGGTATATGAGTTCAATAAACGAATTAACATGTTATGTCCTCTAGGGCTTACAATAAAAGAGGCCCTTGGCTCTATGGCCTTACATCACAAATAATGGCCCAAGGCCTTACACAAAAGATGGCTTAATGGCCTCACATGTATCACAAAAGATCTCTAGCCATCTTAGGAGGATCACCACCAGCACTTGAAATGTTTATAGACAACGGGTTGAGCATAAAGGTTGGTAGAGATATAATACTAACATGCTCAATATGAAATTATAAGGTACATGATCATGATGTGATACATAAAATATTAAGAAAATGATTTATCCAATGCAATTGGACAATTACAAAATTAATAGAAGTTCACAACTCACACATTATATCAAAATTTAATTTCTTGTTTTATTTTAATAAAATTAAGCTTCAGGCTCTAGTTTCCAACTCACTTAAATCATTATTTTCATTCAATGATTTCCAGGGACGTACGGACCGATCATAGCACTGCATTGATAGAAGAGTGTCAATTGTGTATTAGTTAGTAGCTCTCAACCATGAGTTACCTAACCCCCCTTCTCGGGTTACTACACGAATGAAATTTGGTACCTACACCGCATGCTGTGGAGCATATCTAGCCCAACTTCCTCACCAACCCCAAACTCACCAGTGCAATTTTGAAAATCATTACAAGGTTTACCCATTTCAAACCATTTCAAGGCTTGCACTAGTTCTCATAACAAATAGCAATGCCCAAAGGCCCAATTTACATTTCAAATATGCATTTCATAATTTTACCCAATATTTTTAAACATCTCACAATTTTGTCAAAACACCCTATGCAAGGGATTTCCAATAATATTGTAATATCTACAAGTTCAATAGAACACTTCTTATATTTCCTTCCAAGACACAATGCGTAACATTCATCGTATCTCAAATACTCAATTTCATAAAATGAAGACAATATACAAAATGTCACATTTAGCAATGCTCATTCCAAATCACCATTTATAGGGGTTCATATGGGAAATTGGGGCTTTTCAAATACATTATGATATACGCCAAATCAATGCTCTTCCAAGGTTTTTGATAGGTAGAAAGCATATTTCTAACATTAGGTCCAAACCCAAAGCCTAGGGCATCTAATTTTTCCAAATTCCCTTACCATTTGATATAGAAACTACCACACGTACAACCAAAACCCCTTATTGAACAAGTTAGAAGAAAAACCTGTCCTCGAATAGAAGAGAAGAGAAATCATGGGCTAGACGCATACAACCCTTGTCCAGCAAACTTCAAATTACCAAAGTAGCATGACACCTAAAATTTAATAAGAAGTGCAGCAGCATTCTAATATTTAAATACATAAAAATAAGACTCATATTGACCTTAAAAAGGTTTAAAAAAACATGAAAAACATGCTCCGTGTGAAATAGATTTCCTCTTTTTCTTTGTTCCATAATAGTCATAGTCATCATTGGATAAATATGGCAGGCTAGGGAAGCTCATAAATGTTCCTATCCTATATACATAGAAAAAAAAAAAAAACTGTTTGGTTCATTATCTTTTGAGGACTGTATTCGCTGATGGTTGATTATTATTGTTGTCTTATACCACGGAGTTACCATTTGCTTTACAGTAGCATGGTAAGCGGAGGATCAGTGATGTTCTTTGGGCTTTTTCTGTTTCTTTTTCTTATGTTTTAATTGATAGTTGAGATTAATTTTACTTAAAACCACTAAGCAGTCAAACTTGTTATGTAGTTATGTCAATTGAGAAATTGTAGCTTCAAACATGTGTTGAAAAGCATGTGATTTGAGGTTTTGTGCTAAGTAGTCAATTTTTTTCCTTCTTTTTCTTCTTTACCATTTGTGTGTTCAATGTAATTTGAGGATTTGTGCTATTTATTATTTTGAATGGTAGAGCATCAGTCTGGCAGTGATCCCTGTAAAACTTCAAGCAGTGCCAATCTGATTTTGATATGATAGCTGCCATTACGATAATATTTGTTCTTATATGCTTTAAATAAGAAGTCTGTGTGTAATAGAGATTAGATTACTAGTTTTTTTATATTTTTATTTGTTTGTTTGTTGTTGTTGTTGTTGTTGTTGTGTATGGGACTAGATATTTTATCTTATTTACTATATGGTGTATCTCATTAAAGCATATGCAATCATCACTTCTATGCTTATGCTCAGTGGATTCCAAGGTATCTATGATGTTGAGCACTTTATCAAGGCGTTGAGGTACGATGTCCAGATTGTGGAAAGCATTCCTGAAGCTCGGGTAAAAGGGAAGACCAAGAAGATAAAAGGTTATCAGGTGACATTTAAATCTAGTCTTTATTGATTTTGACTTAAGAGCACACAATGCTTTATCTTGCTGGCAGATTATGAATATCTAACTTCTTTGTCAACTCAGCTTCGCCCCCCTAGAGATGCTCCAATAAGTTGGTACACCACAGTTGCTCTAGGGAAGATGAAGGAACATGGTGCTATCTACCTCACTCCCTTTTCACATCGCTTGGCAGAAGAGATTGACAACCCTGAATACCAACGGCTGAGATGCCGAGTTAATTACCATGCACTTAGATTTAAGCCACAGATTATGAAGTTAAGTAACTCAATAGTCACTAAACTTCGTGCAGAAGGTCACTTCATGTCAATACATCTTCGTTTTGAGATGGATATGCTGGCATTTGCTGGGTATGTTGTTACTTAATTATCTTAATAGATTTGCTGAAATTTCTGCTTGATGTGCATGTAAGGGACGGACAGTTTTTTGTGGAGGAAGTCCAAAAATTGGTTGGCCATGTAGGCTAATTCACATTAACTCTCATCCATTTATAGGGCAAGTTGGTGAAGGCACATTGATAATCTAAGTAATAAGAATAAATAAAATGGGTTGCATTTTTTCAACCTTATTACAAAATCTTGATGGAGGATGATTAAACGATAGGCCTTATTATTCATTGGTTAGAAGTGGCCCCAGATGCTGGTGTTCCTGTTACAACCTAAACATATACCCATGCCCACCATGTGTTTCTGTTTTTTACTTATTTTATTTTTTGAGGTAGCTTAACGTCATGTAAATAAGGGTAAAGGTCATTGGAACAGCTTAAGCCTCAACTTTATAGACTCCGGAAATTTTAGGGGTTCTCCCACAGGCCACAGGTCTGATGCTTAAAGATTGTCTAATCTTTTCCTTTAGGTAGTTAATCATTAATGAGAAAGGACGTCATTATGATGATTCTTTTATTAGTCTATGTTATGGTTTGCATAAATTTCTTATACGTTTCTCCTACAATGTGATAAATTGCCGAGTATTTGACTGTAAAGGCCTCTGTGAAATGTTGTACGATAAGGCTATGTTGAGAAGCATTGAGTGGGTGGCCGTTGTTGAGTATTTAGAAAAGGTGCACTTTTGGTGCTCTTGTATGAAGAAAATTGTAGTTCTGATCATTGGAATTGTGTAGGGATGTGAGTCTTCATTTAGTAAGCCTTTTAGGGTTTAGGCCCTTGGTGTTAACTTTGGATTTCCCTCTTATATACTTTGCAATCTATGAAGCATTTGCATGGGTACTGGTATGATACGGGTACGTTGATACAGTAAAATCTTAAAAAAGTAAGTTACATGTATGGCTTGGTGCATTCGTTAAAAAAAATATGTATATATATATTTAATTTAGAATAATGCAAAGATTAGTTGGATGGTTTAGTTGTTAAGATGAACCTACAATTCATATTTATTGCCAAAAGTAAGGTATAAACTAAAATTAATTGTCATTATATTAATTAACCTACAACCAAGGCCTAATTTTAAAATCATGCTAGGCATTTAAAAAAGTCAAGTGAAATTGACTTCACCTTGTATAGAAGAAAATACTATTCTAGCTAAGGTACGACTAAGAAAAAATTTGGATACGTGTTTTATATATGAGATACGAGTACGGCATGTTTGTTGAAGTACTCATGCTTCATAGCTTGCAATGCTCTAACTAATTTGTCCACTAGTGTAGGCACTAGCTATGAGAAAGATCTTACGAGACTGTGCCTATCATTTAAGAATGTAGCTTCTATTACATAAATAGAATTGATGGGGATTAAATTTTCTTTTTAGAATCAGAAGATGGAGATCTTACAAATATTTGGTGGAAAATTTGTAACTTTGGATATAAAATCTGTGCAGTTGCTTTGATATATTTACTCCTGAAGAGCAAAGAATATTAAAGAAGTACCGGAAGGAAAATTTTGCAGAGAAGAAACTCATTTATAGTGAAAGAAGGGCCATTGGAAAATGTCCATTAACTCCGGAGGAGGTAATATTTTCTTTTTCATCCTATCTTTTACTGTTTGAATTGTTTATACTGTGCCAATTGATTGCACAACGTTATGAAATATATTTTTAGCTCTGGTAGACCAGTATTATTTTCCACGTAATACCTGGTATTAGTGGTTATTGTGGCTATATGTTTAGTTTTAAAATTTTGCGCCATTACATTTCAGACTGCTCTGACATGGTGAAATGTTTTGTAGTGGCTGAGATTATTGTGACTATTGTGTGTGTATTGGGGTAGGGGGGAAGTTTTGAGGGTGTTTGTGTCGGGCATTTTTTATTTTATTTTATTAAGTTTATTAATCTGGTCCAAATTTAAGATGAGGCTAGCTCATTAGCAATTTGGTCCAAACTTAAAATGGCTGATTCGGGGTTAATTTGGAGGCTGGCTACATTTGTCATCATGGTCATTGATGAAAGCATGCCTCGTACTGCCAATTGTTTGCAAGAATGACGACCAAAATTGAAAGGTTATTCTTATAATTATGATATTCTGCCTCTTGTTTCTGCAGGTTGGTCTTATCTTGCGTGCAATGCGGTTTGGCAATTCCACCAGGATATACCTTGCAGCTGGTGAATTATTTGGTGGTGAGCGATTCATGAAACCTTTTCGTTCCATGTTCCCTCGCCTCGAGAACCACAGCACAGTGGATCCCAGTGAGGAGCTAGTGGAGAATACTGGTTTAATAGGCTCTGCTGTGGATTACATGGTTTGTCTTCTCTCCGACATTTTCATGCCAACATATGATGGCCCAAGCAACTTCGCCAATAACCTCCTGGGTCACCGCCTCTACTATGGTTTCCGTACCACAATCCATCCTGACAGGAAAGCTCTTGCTCCTATCTTTATTGATCGGGAGAAGGGGAAAATGGCCGGTTTTGAAGAAGCTGTTAGGCGTGTGATGGTCAAAACAAATTTTGGTGGGCCCCACAAGCGGGTCTCACCTGAGTCTTTCTATACGAACTCTTGGCCTGAATGTTTCTGCCAAACATCACCAAAGAATCCTGCTGACAAATGTCCGCCAGAGAATGTTTTGGAAATCTTAGAGAGCCAATTGGAGGGTGAAATGACCAGTGAATCAGACACCTTGATTCCATCAAATTTGACATCTATGGCGAAATAAATAGGAAATTGACTTGAACCTAGTAGTGGTGGTCATACTAATCCCTCTGCGATGCAACACTGCAATGCCAGACTGGAGAATGGAGTGGGTTTTTGTTACCTAGTTCAGCTTCTCAGGTATTCTTCTGATCTGGATTTTTAATTTATGTAGCAGTTGAAATGATTTAGTTGTTCTAGTGCTGGCACTGTTGTATAATCAATACGTAATTTATTATCAAGAGAATTAAGTGAACATAATGACTGTTTGATGTTAAGAAATAATAGAAATATAAATTTGACCATTGTGGAGGATTCTAAGAAATTTAAACAATGGAATAAGAACTTGTCATGGTTCATGAATTTGATATAAATGTCTCTCAGGAGGAAGTACTTGAGGATTCAGTATTATTAATGTTGAAGTGGGGTTGCATATTGTGCATCTACAGAAGAGAACAGGAAAAGTGCCCAAATATTTTTTTCCATCTAATATGTTCCTTAACAAATTAAACTGCAAGTGATCCTCTTAATTAGGTCTTCCCTTGATTGGTATTGGTATCTTTCCCTTGTATACATTTTTCTATCAGTAGCTTCTGTTAGAATATAATATGTAAAGTGCTGCTTTAATAATTAGGTTAGTATAATAATCAGTATGCTTTAATAATTCTGTTTTCTCTTTTGGCTTGTAAGCTAGTAACTCCTCTATATAAAGGAGCTAATCCATAACATTCAATCAATCAATTGAATACATATAATTTATTATCTCTGTATTTCTCTCTTTATACATTGAATTTAACATGGTATCAGTGCGGGTTTAGAACCTAGTATTGTCGCTTCACCGGCGGGCGGCAACCTCACCTTGGCCGCCCGGCGGACCTCAACCTATTCCGCTTGTTTTTCTACACATACCTTCTTCCATAGTTGAGCTCCTCATTATCTTCAATGTCTTTATCTTGATGTCCAGCTGGTTTCAGATCTTTCTTTATAACCCGCAACATCCGAAGCAGTCCATTGTCCGTGACATCATCGCAGAAATATTTAAAAAACCTGCTCAATAGCTAAACGCATAGGAGCAGATGATTGCGGCAGTAAAGAAAGTAGTGTATCCACAAGGACATCCATTAACACGGGTGTTCCATCACCATCTATTTCATCTTCTCCAGAAGAGTCGAGAAGATCAGCAAAAAAAAAAAAGCTTACTTACAGCAAATAATGAGTTCATCTCTCAGCTCAGAAAATCCCCCATTGCCCATCCAAATGAAACAGTGGCCTCCTGCGCCCTTTGCCCGAGTCTGCCACGCCTGCGCCTCCGTGACGATCGTTCGGCTTTGCGTCGTGCCGCCTTCTCCACCTCAGTCTCTACGGTAGTGTCTGCCTCTCTAATGTGCGCCGCAGATGCTCTCCCTAGGCTTGAAGGAATTGTTGGATTTCGTCTCTCTAGATTCTCTCTCCATATACATCACCAACCCCATTTTACTTTTCTTCTCTTATTTCTTTATTTTTTCTTTTACTTCATTTACCACCACTCACCCATGTGACCCACTCTACAATAATATATCTTTTGCAGGGGCACTACCCCCAACCTGCACTCTCTTTCTTTTTTTCAAATCTCATTCATACCATATAGATTTGCACACCAAACCTTACTTTATTCATCTCAGGAATCTACTCCCATCCTCGTTCTACACCAGAGAGTAAAAAAAAAAAAAAAAAAAAAAAATTTATTACAAACACAAAACACAACAAAACCAACTCAAACAAACTACCTCCCTCACACAGGACGGATTTTTCTTTTCCCTTCTCTACTCTGCCGCTGGTCTCTTCTTCTTGCCTCCGTCTTGGGCGGCCCTTGACGGTGCTGCCTCCGTGTTCCCCACGCCGCCGAGCACGTTCACTCCTCCTTGCTCCTCCACCGCAGCATATGGCGGACCTCCGAATCGGAACGTAATGGTGGCCTTCCGCTTCAGCTCCTTGTTTTCTACCTTTAACACACATATCTCTGCTCACGCATCCTTATACATGCGCTGGAGCAAAGCCAGTTGGGCGTTTAACTACTGCACCTCATTTGTCCTACTCTAAAGCCGGTGCGACAAGTTTGTGACCGCAGTCATGGTCTCCACACATGACTTCAATGTATAATGATTGGCCTCAATATCCGATTGCGCTGCCATTATTTGCTCCACAGACCGCATAAGAAAGGTCAATGGAGCAACACCAGGGGCGCTTGGTTGAGGTTCAAGGGCAACCGCACCAGTTATCTCTCTTGTGGACTCGTTGAGGTCTGGAAAGAGCGTGAGCAGACCACGGGAAGAAGAGGCCATGTTTTGGGTTGCTGAGTGTTTCAGAGAAGCAGGGTAGCTGAACGGGAAGACGAGGCCATGTTATGGGTTGCTAAGTGTTTCAGCGAAGTAGCGATTTCAGACTGGTAATGTCAGAAAGGGTTGGTTGCAGAGTGTTTCAGAACGAAGATGTTCAGAGGTTTCAGACTCGTTTGGTTTGCACAGCCTCCGCCTCGGTTTATATAGACAATGACGACGTGGACGACACAACGCTCTGTCGATCACGTGCATCGCCGCGTGTCCGGCGCAACTTTTGATGGCTCGCCGCTCGACGATTTCTGTCAGGCACGACTTTTGATAAATTGGGCGCACCTTTTAAGGGTGCGATTTTTGAGGGCTCGATATATATATACATGTATATCTTTTGGGCAGCCTATATACACAATCATACAGTGTATCTTCTACATTGGTCCGGCATGACCCCATAAACTGTTCCGACATTGATTCTGGTTAGTTTCTACATCGGTCCGGCATGACTTCGTAAACTGTCTTGATATTGATTCCGGTTAGCTGCTAAAACGGTTCGACACAACCATACAGTGTCTTCTATATCGGTCCGACACGAGCCATGCAGTGTCTTCTACACCGGTCTGCTACAACCATACAATGTCTTCCACACCGATCTGACACGACCATACAGTGTCTCCTATCCTATCCTATTTTATTTTATTTTCTTTTTCTGTTTTGTTATTCTCTCCAAACTCAAGTTGGTTGGTTCCTATCCTCCTTGAGTTTGAGGGGGCTGTTAGAATATAATATTTAAAGTGCTGCTTTAATAATTAGGTTAGTATAATAATTAGTATGCTTTAATAATTCTGTTTTCTCTTTTGGCTTGTAAGCTTGTAACTCTCTATATAAAGGAGCTAACTCACAACATTCAATACATATTCAATACACAATTCTTTCTCTTTCTTTATACATAAAATTAATAATTATTATTATTATCAATGAAAGTGGTTAGTTGTTAGATTAGCACTTTGAGAGATCCATTTACATTGGAAGAAAATCTTGCCCACCCATTCCACTCTTAAGAGTACATTTTTCCATCAGTAGCTTCATCATATGCATACTTTATTAGCATCCAGAATGCTAGTTCATTTCCCTATCTATTATACGCACACTAGTGTGTCACCCGCGCCTCAAGGCACTCTTATTCTTGTCACTCATAGAGTTTGTGAAACCTTAAACTCGGAAGGCATATATGGTATATATTCAAACCTAAGTCAAGCAAATCCATTCTATGATTCAATTGACCAAATTAAGTTGTCAACAAAAATCATTGCATTCATATAATGGCTGAATGCGGCTAAACCAAAGATTTATTGAAAAGATGATTAATGTAAAAGTTATCAATTACATCAACTAAAGATAACATTAAAAATGAAATTGTTGCCCTAAAAAAAGGCCAAAGTCAAAAGGATTTAAAAGTTGTTCAATAGTCATCCCAGTGTCCATACTTGAAATAAAGAAATTAAAATTTAAAAAAGAATAATAAAGTTAGATTAGATGGATTAAAGTAGAAAATCTATTTTAGTGAAAAAATGCCTAATGTTCAGTATTTCCAAATCATGTCACATAGTATGTAATAAACTTTCTAATTGCTCAAAAGTATATATGATATTTTTTAGTTTGCCACCACCACACAGTCTAGCTCCCCTGTTTTCACATGTTTTCTCGTCTAGGGAAATAATTAAAAGGCTCACTTGGTCTATGTGCCCTTGTGTAAAAAGGAATACTTCCTCTCCATGAACATCCACCTTCTCGTCTACCGACACTACAATTCATATCCATAAAACAAATCAATTATAAAGTACTTGCTTTCAATTTCAAGAATATGTTTCTTAAAATTTCACTTATTTTTACATCCATGATAGTCCAAATCTGCAATTTAGGGGTAGACAATTTCAGCAAATAATAACCAATCTATTTTTCAAAAAATTTAGAATTTAATCAACCCATTTGCTTCAAATAAAAGAATAATGAACTTGAAAGATGAATTAACTTATGTTGTTCATGTCAAAACATTTAAGTTCTATTGATTTCTAGAAGGCACACATTGCAAAGTCTAAAAATATATAGAACATGAACTTGGCATTCATTTTCATTCTAACTACCATGTCAAAATTAGAGTATCGTAGTGTTGGTCACAGGTTCATACTCAAATCTTGCACATGCCATGATGGAGAGGCTTGAATAGCAATTTCATTGGCCTATAAAAGCATTATGATCCACTTGAAATATTTTTGTTCAACGAATGGACTTAAAAATGCAATACTCATGACTTACGTATGTCAAAATAGACAACAAAAGATAACATTCATTTGAATATTTTATCAGGTTTCGAATTGCATTCCTACTTTCTTTTAATGCTAACGCTCGGTGTGTTTGGTTTGGATTTGTAGAGTGATTTTGGGAAAAATTTTCTAAAAAATTTATTTGGTTTGTAAATTTTTCAAAATAATTTCCAAAATTATTCTCTCTTTCTTACCTATCAATCAATCACCTTTTCTTTCTCTCTCATTCTCAATCACTTTTTCTCTCACACACATCTACTCAGTTATAACAAAATATTAAATCATTCCAAACTCCCAAACTACCTTCAAAATACATAACCAAACAAACCAAAAAAATTTCTAAACTCTCTCCCCAAAACAATTTTTAAAAACCACTCTTCCAAAAAAAAAGGTCATATTAGCGCCTCCACAATTCAATCCCACGGGAAATTTAAGTTCAAAAAATGATTATTGAATAGTATTTATTAAGATATAAAGCTCATAGTCATGGCTACTAATAGAAATTTTTTAAAAAAAATTACAAAAAAAAAAAAAAAAAGAGAAGCAAAAAGTCATTTGCATAATACATAAGGTAACCATTCCCTTTGGAATTATACGACCGGGATTTTTATTAACCCAAAAAAGACAATTTTAGTGATGTACTTTTTGTTAATGTTAAAGTGGCAGATAACATCAAATTTTCTTGCTAAGAATATAATTGAAGCTATCTAATATAATTTCCAGCTAATTCAATCAAACTTATAATTAATGTAAGCAAATTCTATTGTCCATTATCAATTACCCAAAATCAAAGAAAATTCTTGAACCCAAACAAATATTAGCTAAACACACATACATGTTCCTCAAAGAGATAGAGAGAGAAAAAGAAAGAGGACCAAACATCAATCAATTGAAGAGAAACCCATTACAAATATCTTCTATTTATTCCCCACTACAAATGTTTCTTTTTCCTTCTCCGATTCAAATCTTAGGAAAGTAAATGCAACATATTAGCCTATTCCTTCTCTTCACAATCAGAAATATTCCTAACATAATTCAAATTAATCCCAACTAAAGAATCTAGATGATCAAAATAATTAGAAAGTTTTATAGCAATATCCAAAAGTTCTCTTTATTTTGGGTAGAAAGTTGGGAATGAATCTGAACAATAACAAAAATCTACGTAATCGAAGTTTTCCTGCTATATACAAATCATAAAGAAAAATAGAGTGAAATAGTGAGTTGTGCTCCAACTAGTAATAAAACTTCATGAGGGCTTAAACCTTACACCTCTTCAGAAATATAGCGTCCTTGGAACCCTCAAGACAATATCAGACATCCAATCGAAATCATTAATAAAAGACAATAATTCGTGACTCAATCAGAAAACCAGAGGCCCAATCGAAACTTCAAGTTTCATGTATCAGAGACCCAATCAATCCCCAGCTGTAAATGGCCTAATTGATACCCAATCCCTACCCCAAATTTGATTTTAATAAACCCAAAGTATGATAATTGTAAGAAACGATTAAACCCTTGATTCAAAATTTATTCAACTTTTCAACTCAATAGTAAGCATGACTGATGATTAATTCGTAGACTTGTAGAGTCAAGGAAGACAACCAAGCAAAAGAAATAGTTAGACAATAAGAATGAGCAACCATTGCTTCAATAAGAGTACAAATTAGATACTTACCTCAATGTTTGGATGTGATAGGTTCTGAACAAGTTTTATTTCTTTCTCATGCTCTCTAATGTGAGCCTATTAAACAAATTAAAAAAATAAAATAAAATAAAATAAAAAAATTGGAAATGGAAATGCAATTCAGTCAAACAAATAAAATAGTTTTGCCAGTCAACAAATCCAAATATATATATAGTTATTTAGTACACCACAAAGGCAAACCTTCAAATACAAATTGTAAGAATCCATAACATAAATGTAATCAAGCAATTAAACCTGTGTTTTCTCTTTTTGAAGCACTATTGACTATACTTGTAACCTTCGTTCAGGCATATACCACTGACAACAAAACAAATGCTATCAAAACTAATAATACTAATAACAAAATCACTAACCTGCTTGTTGGCTGGAAGCTCTCTAAAATCAAGATTGATCCCATATAAATCCAACCAAATGCACTGTAGGGTGTGGCTGCTTCAATAAGAATCTGATTCTTGATTTGCAAATGTTGGAGCTGATGGGTGTTATTCTAATTAACGACAGAAATAAAAATTAGAATTTAGGAATGATAATTGAAAAATGCTTACACAAATGTAGAGATAGAATAAGAAAGAGACCATAGATTGTGATGGTTGGATTTCCCTCTTATATACTTCGCAATCTATGAAGCATTTGCATGGGTACTGGTATGATACGGGTACGTTGATACAGTAAAATCTTTAAAAAGTAAGTTACATGTATGGCTTGGTGCATTCGTTAAAAAAAATATGTATATATATATTTAATTTAGAATAATGCAAAGATTAGTTGGATGGTTTAGTTGTTAAGATGAACCTACAATTCATATTTATTGCCAAAAGTAAGGTATAAACTAAAATTAATTGTCATTATATTAATTAACCTACAACCAAGGCCTAATTTTAAAATCATGCTAGGCATTTAAAAAAGTCAAGTGAAATTGACTTCACCTTGTATAGAAGAAAATACTATTCTAGCTAAGGTACGACTAAGAAAAAATTTGGATACGTGTTTTATATATGAGATACGAGTACGGCATGTTTGTTGAAGTACTCATGCTTCATAGCTTGCAATGCTCTAACTAATTTGTCCACTAGTGTAGGCACTAGCTATGAGAAAGATCTTACGAGACTGTGCCTATCATTTAAGAATGTAGCTTCTATTACATAAATAGAATTGATGGGGATTAAATTTTCTTTTTAGAATCAGAAGATGGAGATCTTACAAATATTTGGTGGAAAATTTGTAACTTTGGATATAAAATCTGTGCAGTTGCTTTGATATATTTACTCCTGAAGAGCAAAGAATATTAAAGAAGTACCGGAAGGAAAATTTTGCAGAGAAGAAACTCATTTATAGTGAAAGAAGGGCCATTGGAAAATGTCCATTAACTCCGGAGGAGGTAATATTTTCTTTTTCATCATTGTCTTCCTATCTTTTACTGTTTGAATTGTTTATACTGTGCCAATTGATTGCACAACGTTATGAAATATATTTTTAGCTCTGGAAGACCAGTATTATTTTCCACGTAATACCTGGTATTAATGGTTATTGTGGCTATATGTTTAGTTTTAAAATTTTGCGCCATTACATTCCAAGACTGCTCTGACATGGTGAAATGTTTTGTAGTGGCTGAGATTATTGTGACTATTGTGTGTGTATTGGGGTAGGGGGGAAGTTTTGAGGGTGTTTGTATTCGGGCATTTTTTATTTTATTTTATTAAGTTTATTAATCTGGTCCAAATTTAAGATGAGGCTAGCTCATTAGCAATTTGGTCCAAACTTAAAATGGCTGATTCGGGGTTAATTTGGAGGCTGGCTACATTTGTCATCATGGTCATTGATGAAAGCATGCCTCGTACTGCCAATTGTTTGCAAGAATGACAACCAAAATTGAGATGTTATTCTTATAATTATGATATTCTGCCTCTTGTTTCTGCAGGTTGGTCTTATCTTGCGTGCAATGCGGTTTGGCAATTCCACCAGGATATACCTTGCAGCTGGTGAATTATTTGGTGGTGAGCGATTCATGAAACCTTTTCGTTCCATGTTCCCTCGCCTCGAGAACCACAGCACAGTGGATCCCAGTGAGGAGCTAGTGGAGAATACTGGTTTAATAGGCTCTGCTGTGGATTACATGGTTTGTCTTCTCTCCGACATTTTCATGCCAACATATGATGGCCCAAGCAACTTCGCCAATAACCTCCTGGGTCACCGCCTCTACTATGGTTTCCGTACCACAATCCATCCTGACAGGAAAGCTCTTGCTCCTATCTTTATTGATCGGGAGAAGGGGAAAATGGCCGGTTTTGAAGAAGCTGTTAGGCGTGTGATGGTCAAAACAAATTTTGGTGGGCCCCACAAGCGGGTCTCACCTGAGTCTTTCTATACGAACTCTTGGCCTGAATGTTTCTGCCAAACATCACCAAAGAATCCTGCTGACAAATGTCCGCCAGAGAATGTTTTGGAAATCTTAGAGAGCCAATTGGAGGGTGAAATGACCAGTGAATCAGACACCTTGATTCCATCAAATTTGACATCTATGGCAAAATAAATAGGAAATTGACTTGAACCTAGTAGTGGTGGTCATACTAATCCCTGTGCGATGCGACACTGCGATGCCAGACTGGAGAATGGAGTGGGTTTTTGTTACCTAGTTCAGCTTCTCAGGTATTCTTCTGATCTGGATTTTTAATTTATGTAGCAGTTGAAATGATTTAGTTGTTCTAGTACTGGCACTGTTGTATAATCAATACGTAATTTATTATCAAGAGAATTAAGTGAACATAATGACTGTTTGATGTTAAGAAATAATAGAAATATAAATTTGACCATTGTGGAGGATTCTAAGAAATTTAAACAATGGAATAAGAACTTGTCATGGTTCATGAATTTGATATAAATGTCTCTCAGGAGGAAGTACTTGAGGATTCAGTATTATTAATGTTGAAGTGGGGTTGCATATTGTGCATCTACAGAAGAGAACAGGAAAAGTGCCCAAATATTTTTTTCCATCTAATATGTTCCTTAACAAATTAAACTAATTAGGTCTTCCCTTGATTGGTATTGCCTTTCCCTTGTATACATTTTTCTATCAGTAGCTTCTGTTAGAATATAATATGTAAAGTGCTGCTTTAATAATTAGGTTAGTATAATAATTAGTATGCTTTAATAATTCTGTTTTCTCTTTTGGCTTGTAAGCTTGTTACTCCTCTATATAAAGGAGCTATCCCATAACATTCAATCAATCAATTGAATACATACAATTTATTCTCTCTGTATTTCTCTCTTTATACATTGAATTTAACATGGTATCAGAGCGGGTTTAGAACCTAGTATTGTCGCTTCACCGGCGGGCGGCAACCTCGCCTTGGCCGCCCGCCGGACCTCAACCTATTCCGCTTGTTTTTCTACACATACCTTCTTCCATAGTTGAGCTCCTCATTATCTTCAATGTCTTTATCTTGATGTCCAGCTGGTTTCAGATCTTTTTTTATAACCCGCAACATCCGAAGCAGTCCATTGTCCGTGACATCATCGCATAAATATTTAAAAAACCTGCTCAATAGCAGCACGTATAGGAGCAGATGATTGCGGCAGTAAAGAAAGTAGTGTATCCACAAGGACATCCATTAACACGGGTGTTCCATCACCATCTATTTCATCTTCTCCAGAAGAGTCGAGAAGATCAGCAAAAAAAAAAAAAGAAAAAAAAAAAGAAAGCTTACTTACAGCAAATAATGAGTTCATCTCTCAGCTCAGAAAATCCCCCATTGACCACCCAAATGAAGCAGTGGCCTCCTGCGCCCTTTGCCCGAGTCTGCCACGCCTGCGCCTTCGCGAAGATCGCTCGGCTTTGCGCCGTGCCGCGTTCTCCACCTCAGCCTCTACGGTAGTCTCTGCCTCTCTAATGTGCGCCGCAGATGCTCTCCCTGGGCTTGAAGGAATTGTTGGATTTCATCTCTCTAGATTCTCTCTCCATATACATTACCAACCCCATTTTACTTTTCTTCTCTTATTTCTTTATTTTTTCTTTTACTTCATTTACCACCACTCACCCATGTGACCCACTCTACAATAATATATCTTTTACAGGGGCACTACCCCCAACCTGCACTCTCTTTCTTTTTTTCAAATCTCATTCATACCATATAGATTTGCACACCAAACCTTACCTTATTTTATTCATCTCAGGGATCTACCCCGATCACAGTTCTCAATTAAAAAAAAAAAATTTATTACAAACACAAAACACAACAAAACCAACTCAAACAAACTACCTTCTCACACAGGAGGGATTTTTCTTTTCCCTTCTCTACTCTGCCGCCGGTCTCTTCTTCTTGCCTCCGTCCTAGGTGGCCCTTGACGGTGCTGCCTTCGTGTTTCCCACGCTGCCGAGCACGTTCACTCCTCCCTGCTCCTCCACCGTAGCATATGGCAGACCTCCGAATCAGAACATAACGGTGGCCTTCCGCTTCAGCTCCTTGTTTTCCGCCTTTAGCACACATATCTCTACTCGCGCATCCTTATACATGCGCTGGAGCAGAGCCAGTTGGGCGTTTAACTGCTGCACCTTATTTGTCCTACTCTGAAGCCGGTGCGACAAGTTTGTGACCGCAGTCATGGTCTCCACACATGACTTCAATGTATAATGATTGGCCTCAATATCCGATTGCGCTTCCATTATTTGCTCCACAGACAGCATAGGAAAGTTCAACGGAGCAAAACCAGGGGCGCTTGGTTGAGGTTCAAGGGAAACCGCACCGGTTATCTCTCTTGTGGACTCGTTGAGGTCTGGAAAGAGAGTGAGCAGACCACGGGAAGAAGAGGCCATGTTTTGGGTTGCTGAGTGTTTCAGAGAAGCAGTGATTTCAGACTGGTAATGTCAGAAAGGGTTGGCTGCAGAGTGTTTCAGAATGAAGATGTTCAGAGGTTTCAAACTAGTTTGGTTTGCACTGCCTCCGCCTTGGTTTATATAGACAATGACGAAGAGGACGACACGACGCTCTGTCGGTCACGTGCAGCGTGTCTGGCGCGACTTTTGATGGCTCGTTGTTCGACGATTTCTGTCGGGCACGACTTTTGATGAATTGGGCGCGCCTTTTGAGGGTGCGACTTTTGAGGGCTCGATATATATATATACATGTATATCTTTTGGGTAGCCTATATACACAATCATACAGTGTATCTTCTACATCGGTCCGGCATGACCCCATAAACTGTCCCAACATTGATTTCGGTTAGTTTCTACATCGGTCCGACATGACCTCGTAAACTATCCCGACATTGATTCCGGTTAGCTGCTACAACGGTTCGACACGACCATACAGTGTCTTCTATATCGGTCCGACACGAGCCATACAATGTCTTCTACACCGGTCTGCTACAACCATACAATGTCTTCCACACCGGTCTGACACGACCATACAGTGTCTCCTATCCTATTTTATTTTATTTTCTTTTTCTGTTTTGTTATTCTCTCCAAACTCAAGTTGGTTGGTTCCTATCCTCCTTGAGTTTGAGGGGGGCTGTTAGAATATAACATGTAAAGTGCTGCTTTAATAATTAGGTTAGTATAATAATTAGTATGCTTTAATAATTCTGTTTTCTCTTTTGGCTTGTAAGCTTGTAACTTCTCTATATAAAGGAGCTAACCCATAACATTCAATCAATCAATTGAATACATAATTTATTCTTTCTGTATTTCTCTCTTTATACATTGAATTTAACAGCTTCATCATATGCATACTTAACAAATTAAACTGCAAGTGATCCTTTTAATTAGGTCTTCCGTTGATTCTATGCAAGTATGGAAGAGTGCATTTACATTTTTCCATCAGTAGCTTCATCATATGCATACTTTATTAGCATCCAGAATGCTAGTTCATTTGCCTATCTATTATACGTACACTAGTGTATCACCCGTGCCTCAAGGCACTCTTATTCCTGTCACTCATAGAGTTTGTGAAACTTTAAACTTGGAAGGCATATATGGTATATATTCAAACCTAAGTCAAGCAAATCCATTCTATGATTCAATTGACCAAATTAAGTTGTCAACAAAAATCATTGCATTCATATAATGGCTGAATGCGGCTAAACCAAAGATTTATTGAAAAGATGATTAATGTAAAAGTTATCAATTACATCAACTAAAGATAACATTAAAAATGAAATTGTTGCCCTAAAAAAAGGCCAAAGTCAAAAGGATTTAAAAGTCGTTTAATAGTCATCCCAGTGTCCATACTTGAAACAAAGAAATTAAAATTTAAAAAAGAATAATAAAGTTAGATTAGATGGATTAAAGCAGAAAATCTATTTTAGTGAAAAAATGCCTAATGTTCAGTATTTCCAAATCATGTCACATAGTATGTAATAAACTTTCTAATTGCTCAAAAGTATATATGATTTTTTTTAGTTCACCACCACCACACAGTCTAGCTCCCTGTTTTCACATGTTTTCTCGTCTAGGGAAAAAATTAAAAGGTTCACTTGGTCTATGTGCCCTTGTGTAAAAAGGAATACTTCCTCTCCATGAACATCCGCCTTCTCGTCTACCAGCACTACAATTCATATCCATAAAACAAATCAATTATAAAGTACTTACTTTCAATTTCAAGAATATGTTTCTTAAAATTTTGCTTATTTTTACATCCATGATAGTCCAAATCTGCAATTTAGGGGTAGACAATTTCAGCAATTAATAACCAATCTATTTTTCAAAAATTTTAGAATTTAATCAACCCATTTGCTTCAAATAAAAGAATAATGAACTTGAAAGATGAATTAACTTATGTTGTTCATGTCAAAACATTTAAGTTCTATTGATTTCTAGAAGGCACACATTGCAAAGTCTAAAAATATATAGAACATGAACTTGGCATCATTTTCATTCTAACTACCATGTCAAAATTAGAGTATCGTAGTGTTGGTGACAGGTTCATACCCAAATCTTGCACATGCCATGATGGAGAGGCTTGAATAGCAATTTCATTGGCCTATAAAAGCATTATGATCCACTTGAAATATTTTTGTTCAACAAATGGACTTAAAAATGCAATACTCATGACTTATGTATGTCAAAATAGACAACAAAAGATAACATTCATTTGAATATTTTATCAGGCTTTGAATTGCATTCCTACTTTCTTTTAATGCTAACGCTGGGTGTGTTTGGTTTGGATTTGTAAAGTGATTTTGGGAAAAATTTTCTAAAAAATTTATTTGGTTTGTAAATTTTCCAAAACAATTTCCAAAATCATTTTCTCTCTTACCTATCAATCAATCACTTTTTCTCTTTCTCTCTCCTTCTCAATCACTTTTTCTCTCACACACATCTACTCAATTATAACAAAATATTAAATCATTTCAAACTCCCAAACTCCAAAACTACTTTTAAAATACACAACCAAACAAACCAAAAATTTTTTTAAACTCTCTCCCCAAAACAATTTTTAAAAACTACTCTTCCAAAACCAAACCATACATACCCGCTATGTTTGGATCATGAACTTGGATAGGGATTTGGTAAGGGAAAGGAAAATAGAGAAATAATTTAGTTTATATTCAATTCACATTTCACTCATTTTTTTCATCTATCTTTTCATATTCCTACCAAAATCCATGATCCAAACACTCTTACGAAAATTATACAACACATCCATCACATAGACATTTTCATAAATATGTCTTTTAGAAAAGAAAAAAAACATCAGCATAACTATGCCAATCTTAAGCAATGTTCCTACAAGAGAGAGGGAAAAAAAAGGTCATATTAGCACCTCCACAATTCAATCCCACGGGAAATTTAAGTTCAAAAAACGATTATTGAATAGTATTTATTAAGATATAAAGCTCATAGGCATGGCTACTAATAGAATTTTTTTTAAAAAAATTACAAAAAAAAAAAAAAAAAAGAGAAGCAAAAAGTCACTTGCATAATACAGAAGGTAACCATTCCCTTTGGAATTATACGACCGGGATTTTTATTAACCCAAGAAAGACAAATTTAGTGATGTACTTTTTGTTAATGTTAAAGTGGCAGATAACATCAAATTTTCTTGATAAGAATATAATTAAAACTACCTAATATAATTTCCAGCTAATTCAATCAAACTTATAATTAATGTAAAGCAAATTCTATTGTCCGTTATCCATTACTCAGAATCAAAGAAAATTCTTGAACCCAAACAAATATTAGCTAAACACACATACATGTTCCTCAAAGAGATAGAGAGAAAAAGAAAGAGGACCAAACATCAATCAATTGAAGAGAAACCCATTACAAATATCTTCTACAAATGTTTCTTTTTCTTTCTCCGATTCAAATCTTAGGAAAGTAAATGCAACATATTAGCCTATTCCTTCTCTTCACAATCAGAAACATTCCTAACATAATTCAAATTAATCCCAACTAAAGAATCTACATGATCAAAATAATTAGAAAGTTTTATAGCAATATCCAAAAGTTCTCTTTATTTTGGGTAGAAAGTTGGGAATGAATCTGAACAATAACAAAAATCTACGTAATCGAAGTTTTCCTGCTATATACAAATCATAAAGAAAAATAGAGTGAAATAGTGAGTTGTGCTCCAACTAGTAATAAAACTTCATGAGGGCTTAAACCTTACACCTCTTCAGAAATATAGCGTCCTTGGAACCCTCAAGACAATATCAGACATCCAATCGAAATCATTAATAAAAGACAATAATTCGTGACTCAATCAGAAAACCAGAGGCCCAATCGAAACTTCAAGTTTCATGTATCAGAGACCCAATCAATCCCCAGCTGTAAATGGCCTAATTGATACCCAATTCCTACCCCAAATTTGATTTTAATAAACCAAAGTATGATAATTGTAAGAAAAAATTAAACCATTGCTTCAAAAATTTATACCACTTTTCAACTCAATAGCAAGTATGATTGATGATTAATTCGTGAACTTGTAGAGTCGAGGAAGACAACCAACCAAAAGCAGTAGTTAGACAATAAGAATGAGCAACCATTTCTTCAATAAGAGTACAAATCAGATACTTACCTCAATGTTTGGATGTGATAGGTTCTGAACAAGTTTTATTTCTTTCTCATGCTCTCTAATGTGAGCCTATTAAACAAATTAAAAAAATAAAATAAAATAAAATAAAAAAATTGGAAATGGAAATGCAATTCAGTCAAACAAATAAAATAGTTTTGCCAGTCAACAAATCCAAATATATATATAGTTATTTAGTACACCACAAAGGCAAACCTTCAAATACAAATTGTAAGAATCCATAACATAAATGTAATCAAGCAATTAAACCTGTGTTTTCTCTTTTTGAAGCACTATTGACTATACTTGTAACCTTCGTTCAGGCATATACCACTGACAACAAAACAAATGCTATCAAAACTAATAATACTAATAACAAAATCACTAACCTGCTTGTTGGCTGGAAGCTCTCTAAAATCAAGATTGATCCCATATAAATCCAACCAAATGCACTGTAGGGTGTGGCTGCTTCAATAAGAATCTGATTCTTGATTTGCAAATGTTGGAGCTGATGGGTGTTATTCTAATTAACGATAGAAAAAAAAATTAGAATTTAGGAATAATAATTGAAAAATGTTTACACAAATGTAGAGATAGAATAAGAAAGAGACCATAGATTGTGATGGGGATACCCACTGAATCGTGGCCTCGAAATCACTTTAAGTGCTCCAGTCGTTAAAATCAATCACTCGTAGATCAAGCTACAGTCCTCCATCAGCACTTTGTATATCAAGTCTCAATTGTTGCTTCGCAATCACCACAAACCCATGGTGCAGACTGTGACAGTTGAGACTTTAGAATGGGCATCCTAGACGAGAAAGTTGAAGTGGTCTCAAACCCATGGTGAGGAGGTGAAAACAATGAGGAAGATGAGAGGAAGGCGCTGAAACAACAACATTAAACCTACAATGGAGGCCACGCACCCTGTTACCGACAAATACACAAATATTGCAAAAAAAAAAAAAAAAAAAACACTAATGTTTAGCATCAAACCAAACAAACTAAAGTATAGTTTAAATCTATCACAATTTTAGCAATGAAACTAGCTAATTAATCAACAAATCTAATTAAAGTTTACAGCAACTTTCCCTAGTGTTTCAACAAAACTAACTAATTAAAATATCTGTTTGGGATCTCATTGAACAAAACACTGAATACCCAAAACCTTAGACTGCTTCATTGCCTTCGTCGAAGTCACTGCACCGTATGGCAGAAAACATAATGGTGTTTAAATAGATAGATTAATGGTGCTACACCATTGAGAGAGACTAATGGTGCTCGAAATCAATGGATTCAGCAACACTGTGATGTTGAAATCGAAGCCTTAGATCAAGTACCATTAATCGCCAAGGAGGGGCTGCAGCAGTGACTCAGAGGGAGGAGGCTCCAAAGGAGGGGTTGAGAGGGAGAGGGAGAGATAGCAATTGAACTGAGATTGAAAGAGAGAGAAGTAAGATGCAGTTTCAAATTTTGAAATTGAAAATCTGATGAGGCCTCTAAACGTGGTAGATTGTTTTGCTAAAATTGGACCATAAGATTTGAGAGAAAAGCAATCTTAGCCATTGCCACAAATTTACCGGTAGGACAAAATTGTTTGAGAATAGTATACCGTTGGATTTGGAAAAGGAGTAATCCTAACCATTAAGTCAAATGTCCATGGAGGACAACCATCCCATCAGGATTCAAAAACCCCCTTCCCTTGTTATATAGATATTTCTCCTTTGCCTGCATCTAATTAGTTGAACACCTTTTGTGTTCATATTGCGTTCTTTCAGATGAATCAATGTCCTCTACTGGGGTCTCTTGATTGTCAGAACCAACTTTTTACATTACGATTTGTTCTGTGATTCTTTTTTTTTTGGTTGCGTGGAAGTTTGTTATATTCTAGTAGTTATTTTTTTCTGACAATTATTTTGTCCTCTACTAAGCGCAAGTTTTGGTTCATGTCGTTCAGACTTCAGAGCAAATGAGACCTCATACCTTTCTATGGAGCGATACTTTTGAGTTCTCAACTAGGAACTTACTTGAAGTTGCCATTATTCTTGATCTAAATCCTCGAAAGAACTTACCACCAAGAAAAATAAAATAAATGTAGAAAAGAAAACTGTTTGAGCATTGTTCTTTTGTGTAGCATGTCCACTTGCTTGTGGCCTCTGTCTGATTATAAAATTGTTGCCTTTTTCAGTTCTCACTGGTGGCATCATCTTACGAACTCATCATTCTCTTTTGGGTGGCTGGTGGGCAGTTCATCTTATCTGGGGAATGGAGGATTCGACTCATCTTATGCACTGAGAGAGAATGCAAATTATTTTTGATCATGCCTTGGACCGAGATGAAATTTTGTGCATGTATTAATATTTGCCCCTTGTGTATTGACATTTTTGTGTTGAAGTGACACTCTAGTTGATTGAGTAGTTAGTTCTCTACTATATTCAGAAAAATAAACAGAAATACAAAAGGGTTCTAAGCATGAGCATGCATACCAAATCATGCCATTATAATTTGGCAAATTAATATAATCTAGCATTAAGTTGAGTATATTATACAATCAGATGCTTGCAGGTATATTGGTTCTACTCGTAAATTATGGTATTTTGATGTACATTGTAATGGTGAGCATGGAAGCAAATATTGATGTATTGCTTGCATGTTAGCCATTGAACAATAAAGGAAATTCTATTTGTACATTACAAAAAATCATCATTCGGATATATATTCTAAACAAAAAGTTAGGGCATAAACATAGAAGAAAAATGTATTGTTTAGATATACATTAAGAAGCTTGTGTTCAAACATTGAACTTTTGTTTGGAAGTTTATAAATATAAACAGCATAAATAGTGTAAATTGAGATTTTGTATGATGTACGAATAAAATTACTTGAATAATAAATATGAAGTCCAACCTGCAGGTCTTGCAAAATCAGCTGCGCTTCAACATTTGAAGGAGGATTGCATATCACAGCAATAGTACGCGTCCATGTAATCCCTCGTATTAATGGCTCTTGTGGCTATGTTGTTTAGTTTTAAAATTTTGGATTCACAATCTAGACTGGTCTAATGGGGTAAAATAACTTATTTAAAATCTTGATTTTCTCATACCCAAATATTGAAAAAAGGACCGAATCAATGATGGATAATTAGATTGTCTTATTTTTAAAGTCCACATGTTATTAGATCTCCTAATATTTTGATATTCCACAATTTTTGATTTGCCAGAGCTGAATTGAGTTAAAATTGATTTCCACAAAAGCTATACAACCATCAATAGGAAGTTTAAAAACTTAAAACTGCCCTGATTTTAAAATCCAAGAACTTGGGACTCCACGATGAAGACGTTAGTACGTTATCACCAAGAACCAATGGTGATAACCAAGCTCGAAAGCATAGAAGTTCAAAACGAGGTGTTAAACACCCATTATGCTCGATACAAGGTGAATCTCTACTTACCATTTTTTTAATTATTTATTTTAAAATCATTAAATTAAATGCACGATGATAGCATATACAAAAACAATAAAATACTCTTTGGAATACGACTTTTCTCTCTTCTACTTTATCATTCCACTTCAAAATTGTCTTCCTTCAATAGTTGATCTTCCTACAACCTTCAAATCTGTTCGTTTCAAATCCACTCATCCAAGTAAAGACAATCATTCCAGCAAATCCTCTCTCTCGAAGTTTATGACAGATGTATGTATAGCAGGTGAAGAAGGTAACAATTGACAGTTTCTGATACTAAAAATAAACTGAAAAATAGCTGGAAGTCTATTTATTACAGAAGCACAATTCCTACAACCACCTCATCTCAGGCTACTATCAAAGAATAGGTGTGCCTGTTCCATAAATATACCAATTAACAAAATCAAAGGAAAACTAAGATTGTGTTTGGATCCTAGATTTGTGTAGCAATTTGTAGAGGGGAAAGATAATGAAAGGAGAAAAGTCAATGAAATAAAAGCTATTTTTTTCACTTTCCCCTCCCATTTTTCAGTTCTGCAAATTCCTCCACAAAATCAAGATCCAAACATATTTGTTAGCTGTTACTTTAACTGACATTTACATTCCAGTAAAATTGTACAAGCAAATTCTGACACAAGAACAAGGGAAATGAAAAACAACTGCAAAAAAACATACATGGTGGTAAATTGCCTAAAAAGAGAAGAAAAAAGAAAACTAGTGAGCCGACGGTGAGCGCAACTTGTTGGCAACATAGAGCAGGTGGCTGATGTTGGTTGGTGGATAATGTTGGAGTAACTTGAGATTCGACGTGAAGTCTCCAGCAAGTAAACGCCTCCGGATAAGAATCAACATGGCACAGCATACTCGAAGCAGAGTTTCCTACGGATCACAAAAACAATTTTGATTGTTTTACAGTGCTTGATTTTTGGATCACTCCAAGATGGGATATATTTTTCTATGTTTAACTTCAAACCCAGGAAATGTAGATTTAGTGAGGGAAAGCAAAAGAAAGATTCAAGACAGTTAAATAATGATAAATAAACTTTTCATGACAAAGTCCAAGCAAATTAATATCTATAATGATTAAAAATGACTTCTCTTTTAGCATAAATTTGTCAAAGAAAGAAGAGAATACAATAACGTGTATTATGATAAGATATACCTAGTCCAAAAAATCAGCATTGATGAAAAGATCATTTCAAGCAGTGTTACACACCACTTCTAAATAAACAAATAAACACAAAATTTGAAATGAGAAACATCAACTTACAAGAGGACCTTCAGGGTCGCTTAAAAGTGTATCCCAAATAAGAAGGCTGTCTGCGAAATTGAATTCTTGGGTCAAGAGAAGAGTAATCCACCTGAACGCATAAAACTGAGGATTGACCTGTTTTTTTTTTTTTTTTTTTAAAGACAAATCAATGGCATAACACTGTCAATTTCAAACTCAGCAGCAGATAAACAATGACAACACAACTTCCAGCAATGGTTGATTGACACAGCAAGTGCAGTATTTAAATAGGGAAATCCCACTTACTTTAAAAAAATAACATAGAAATTCCCCCACAACAAATATCACATAGCCGAAATTCCATTGGGATAAAAGGTGGTAGAAATTTTATTGTCAAATTGATAAAACATGATAGAATCCATTTCCCGAAACAGGAGTAGAACTAGAGTCGCCATAAGTGTTTATCTGGGATTTGGGAAACCATTTTCCAAACTGAGCTTGAGTATGACCCCTTTGTCACAAAAGGCATGATAAGTTTGAGAATGATACCCTAACCATAGAGAATAGGCATCGATACATGTTTACATAATATCAATTATCAAGAGAGAAAACTAGAATAGAATATACCATAGTACTTTTTCAAGTTATTAGGCATTTATGTGAAGCCATTTGATTAAATACATGTTACCCCACCATACACATCATGATTACCATCATCTGAGGAAGCTAAACCTATAAAATAGAAGATATCGTTTGAACCATGGGTCTGATGCGTACTTAAGAGCCATACAATTTCTCAAGAGAAAACATACAAAACATATATAAATATACACATATTCATGTATATATTTTCATTCATTACAAGGCAGCAAACCCAAACAGCATAAGAATCTTACTTTGGTTGTGACCTCAAGATGACGCCATAGCTCTTCATCATGTTCCTTTAAAAGCCTTGACAACTTTGTAATTGTGGAACGGATTCCAACAACACTATTATCAAGTTGCTGACAGAAATGATCTCGGAATCCACTTAATAACTCAACAAAACAAAAGAATGTGTCTGCTTCAGCAAAGGCCTGCAAAACTCCAAAAAAGAGAAAGGTAAACCAAATATGACTACAAATGAGTTTATAACATAATAATAAAACCATGTATTCACAATAAAAATAAACTAATTTACAAATGATTATCTCCATTCCATCTATCTAAATAATTTATTGTTCATAAACATTATACTCTAATGCGGGGTTTATTTTTGGCATGCTGCTCTGAATTTATCAACGAAATTCTCTCTTCAAAAAGTTTGTATATGAAGAGAATTCTTAAACCAGAGACTGATACAACATACTATAATTCAGGTTTTCCAACTTCTCCCCTCTCATGTTCTTTATAATCTCGTCATTCTTATCATAATCCAGCTTTATTATGCAGCTTGACAGCAACTTTGATCCAGAAAACCTGACTTCTCTTATTTCGAAAGGTTTCATAAGAAGGAGAGTGGAGTCCCACACTTCTCCTGAGCAACATTGTTTGTCCTTTAGGATTCAACATGTGTTTTTTTTTTGCTGGCTGCATTCTGTTAATAGTTTATTGTCCATCAAGCATGTTGATATTGCAGAGTTGGCATATCTGCAGTGGTTCCCTATCATTCCACGGGCAAAAGAGGACTCTTCTGTGCTTTCCGAAGCTGCTCATGTCTTCCATATAAGAAACAAGTCAATTTTCAAGTTCCTCTTACACATCACATGAGAGAGACACTTAATGGACAACGAAGGGTGACAATAGATGTGAATCTTAAAATTCCAAGTAATTAAACCCCAAGGGGTTGACCTGGCAGCAAGGCCTTGGGTCTTGGGGTGTGCTCCCTCCAAGGTTCCAGAATCGAAACTCTCTTAGGTGCTAACAATTCCTTGGGACTATCGGACTGGGGAAAAACCGTTGAATTAACTGTGGTGTATTTGCGAGAAACTCCTTGCTAAGGGCCTGTGCACCCCTGGAGATTAGTCAGACTTTGATCCGGACACCCCGATGCCAACAAAAAATAAAAATTCCAAGTAATTAGTAATATTTGAAAGAAAAAAAAATTGCAACATGTCAGGTTGGGATTGGCATCTTCAAATCCAAGCTTAAGTTAAGATGTGCATGTTCGAACAGTAGTATTATTTGGACTGGCTACAATATTCTGTTTCATTTGCAAATTCTGGTACACTTTTTTCTTTATTAGTATGGGCATAGAAACACACATAATGTGCACTATTTGGACGTTGTTTTTTAATATGGGCTTAGAAAAATCTAAAGCATCAGACACCAGATTGATGCTTCAAAAGCTTTGAAGATTTTAAATGATAAGTGCAAGGATAAAGAAATAAAAGTAGATATGATGCAACACGGCAATCACTAGGGATTCACCAAGAATCAACACCATTAGAAAAATGAAATCATCACCCCTTCAAATAACTTGCAAAAAGACATAGTTCAATTTCATTCAACAACCTTTTGCAATGAGTCTACTTACCCCCTTACATAAAAAAGGCTACATTAAAGAAATAATAGACTACCTAGATGAGTCACCACATTAAGTAAGTGGGTAGCTATTACCTATTAGAACAAGGAACTACTTTAAGGAAGAAATTGGCAACTAGCACAAGTAGGGCTGCAAATGAGTTGAGCCGAGTAATACAGTGTTTGAGCTCGGCTTGGTCAATTTTGAGACTGTTCAAGCTTGAGTCAAGCTTGACCAACCAAACTCAAGCTCGAGCTCGAATCAATTTACATTGTTTACCACCTGCTTATATAAGCTAGGTGAGTGTTGCATTGCCATCAGCTGTGAAGGATAGTAATAATGATAGTGGTATATAACAAAGAGTGCTCTGGCTAACCAAACAAATTCTTTCAGATTTTTGAAACTGACATATGAAACCACATATATTTGACAATTTTTATAACCAGTTGATACAACGTATAGTAAGGAGACAACAAATATAGTACGAAAACCAAATGTATATGGAGAGAGTGACCTATAGCATAACATGTAGATTGCAGCAAACAATTCCAGTGTCAGGATGAACACCATGCTTTTTAGGGATTCATTGACATCGCAGTTCATCAATCTACTTCTTAAATGCATTGGCCTCTAGTCCTACATCAATAAAACAGTGATGTCATGATTCTTTCACCCCTTATAAAAAGTGCATTCTAGTGGCTGAAAATAACTCGTTGGGCTCTTTTTTGTTCCACATCTCCTTAGCAGAGGTGCTCGTGGCATCCTTCTCTTTATATTAGTGCACAATATATGATAGGAAAACTGAATATGATTATATGCCCCAGCTCCAGAGCCTAATTGAGCCGAGCTTTAAATTTCTTGAACTTGGATTGTTTGAAAAAATGAGCTTGGAAATGTAACTTGAATTTATTCATTAGTTAACTGAACCGAGCTTTAACAAGCATAGCTCGAGCTGTTCATAAACATCTCGGTTCATTTGCATCCTTAAGCACAAGCAACCACTTTAAGGAAGTAGTTGGCGAGTAGGAAAAATAACTTAAGTACCTAGCAACTAGGGGAAAAACTACCTCATTTAATGGCGAAGGATCTCATTTTCTTCTACATTAAGGGCAATGAGAACACCTTAAGAATATGGGTGGAGAGCCTTTGGCTTAAAATTTGTAGCTCATGGTTCTGGTACTTGGATCCTTCGGCCTTACCTTCACCTTGCCCTTTTGAAAACATTTTAAGCCTTGATTGTTGTCAAATACAACTCCAAACTGCTCTCCACTTGAAATTTAAACACATTCCAAAAAAATTCTTAAATTTCCTTTCTTGTGCCATAGATGCTCAACATCACTAGTGCAGTTGTTAAAAGTATCAAAAGCCTTTTCCGAGGGAGGAGCATGACACTATGCCCTTATTGCATTTTGTGAATGGTGGGCTTCCTATCAAGTAGTTACGAGTCCTCCCTGCTAGGTTGACATGCAAGACTTGTTTAATTCTCATTGACACAATTTGAGCGAGTAGTTAGACTGGCAAGTTGCTGCACGAAGAAGGTGGGCTCTAGCGTTTCAAGTTGATGCGCTCTAGATTTGCAAATTGGCAAATTTTATGTAAGTCAGCGCCAATTCGTGAATTCAAAATCTCTAATTCGCGTTCTAATGTCGACAAATTCAGTCAATTTATCCAACCATATTGTGACACGTAACAATTATGACATACCACCACAAGAATTTTTCAAAATTGTCTAGCTTGGAGCTTCTTCCAAACTTGTAATGATTTTGGCTAAACCTACAACAAACTACTTGGGAATCTGCACTAAACAACGCAAAAGACCAGGCCACATAATCAATATGATTGCGTATCAAAAGACAATATTATATATAACTATACAGTATAATAGTAAAATGAAGATGGTTGATTAATATTTCAAAAATACTTATAAGTAAAAACATTTAATAATATTAAAATAAAATAAAATTAATGATTAATAATTAATATTATAATATTTAAAAAAAAGTATATTATATAGATGCTTTCAATCTTACAAATTTTGGAAGTTGGAGCTCTCCTGCTCCCGCCATATGAATTGGTGACTTAGATCTGGTTTATCCTTGCTTCCCAAATAAATTGATGGCTCTGGAGAATAATAGTGTGCACTTTTTTTTTTGGCAGGATATTCATGACAAACATAAGAGGGCTAGATTACTTGCGTGTGAGACTAAAACAGAGGATTGATTGATGCCGGAGAGATTACAAGACTGTAATGTGGTCAATGCCACGAGGCATATGTTAGGTTGATTCAGAAGACAGACTAAAAAAAAGGGGCTTATAGAGTCAAAAGCCTCCAAGGTCCAAATGACTCTAGCTGGGCTGAAGGAGATTTTGAAGGTCTTAAGTGAGGCTAATAACTTATTATTTGGTTTGAGATGGAAAGGCTATATTCTTCTGGTATGATAATTGGCTGCTTATTGACCATATCCTGAGAAGCACAACAGCGACACGGGACATAAAGATTTTTTTTAAATAAATAAATTAGGATCCAAACAAGGCAAGGACATAACAAGGAAAAAAACATTTACTACATATATAAATATAAATTTAGGGCACAAAGATACGAGAAGCATCAACGTATAACTAGGTGCATTTTTAGTTTTCCATTTTTCTACCCTCTTAATTTTTATATATTGTAGTATTTTCATATACTTTAGTTTGACCCAAAATCAACTTTTTAAACTTAGGGTAAATTACACCCCCTGAGGTTTGAACTTAATACAGATCCCCCCTCCACTTTTCATAAATTACGCTGCACCCCCTGTCAGTGTCTATCTGTAACTTGACTTAACAAAATGTTTAAAATTACCTTATTACTCAAGGGAAGTCCTTGGAGCGTCGAAAGAAAAGGGACCCCAACTCTAAGGAAACTTGGTGGTTGAGGGATGAGGTTCAAGCTGTAGTAAAGACGAAAAAAAGTGCTTTAAAAAGTGGCAGAAGGATAGAACTGAGGAAAACCTTAAGAGTTACATATTGGCTAATAAGGAGGTCAAAAAAGTAGTTATAGAGGCTAAGTTGAAAGCCTATAATGACCTATACATTAGGCTAGACAGTAAGGAGGGAGAGAAGAGAATATACAGACTTGCTAAGATAAGAGAAAAAAATAAGAGATTCTAATCATGTTAAGTGCATCAAGAGTGAGGACTCTAAGGTGTTGGTGAAGGATGAAGAGATTAAGGAGAGGTACAAAAACTATTTTGAGAAATTGTTAAATGAGAAACATGGAGGAAGGTCAAAAAGGGAAGGAAGTAGCCAGTAATCAGGAAAACCAAGGCTACAGATTCTATCGTAGGATTAGAAACTTTGAAGTGGAGATGACACTTAAGAATATGAAATCGAATAAAGCTTTAAGACCCGATTTGATGTTTGAAAATGTTTGGGTACGAAAGGGGTTGCTTGGTTGACTAGGCTATTTAGCAAAATTTTGTTGATTAGGAAAATGCCATAAGAGTGGAGGAAGAGTATTTTAGTACCAATCTATACGAATAAAGGAGATGTCCAGAATTGTAACAACTATATAAGAATCAAGCTGATATG